CCCCCCGCCCCGCGCCTCACTCCGCCACCCGCCGGGCGCCTTCCCCGCTCCGCTTGCCTTCGGTCCCCGGCTCCCCGGCCCCTCTCCTCCCGCCCTCGCTCCCCTCCGTCCCGCCCCGTCCAGCCCCGGCTGCCCGGCGCCCGCAGGCCCCCCCCGCCGCCCGCGTTCCTATGGACAGACGCACAGACACCTGCAGGTGGGTGAGAGCCCGCGCGCGGGGCGGGGACGAGCGCGCCGACGCTGCGACCCGGGCGGGGAGTTCCTTTGTGTGGGGGGCGGCCGCGCCGGGGGCTGGTCCGCTTCCCCCTCAGCTGCCGCGCAGTGACCCGGCCGAACCCTTCTTTTGTCTCCTCTGGGGGGAGCGAGGCCGTAGTGAGGGCAGAGACCGGGCGGTCGGCCGTCGGCAGCGGCGGGCTTGAGGGGTGTGAGGGGCAGAGAGCCCCGGCGGCCGCTCCGGTCTGGCTGCCCGGGGCCGGCCCCCCGCCCGGCAGCTCCAGTGGCCACGGCGGCCGCGGGCGCGCTGCGTGGGTCTGGCTCTCCTGCTCCTGGGTCTGTTAGAGGTGGGAACGAGGGCGGGAAGGAGGAAGAAAAGATCTACCCTCTTAGTTTCCAAGTCTTGAGGTGGTTTTGGAGAAAGAGGTGGTTCAGGGCTTTGCCCGACTTGTTTCCCTCCTCGGGAGGCACACTGAGGTGCGTTTGGGGCGTGTGTGGAGGAACGTGCATCGCTTCGCTCCCTTATTTATTGTTTCTAACGGAGGAGGGCTTTCTCCAGAAGGGCTCTTCCGCCCCCCACCCTCATCTGAGGCTGCGCGCCCAGTGATGTGTGTTTGTTATCAAATATATCAAGAAATGTATTCCCCTGGTTAGCAGGAGGTTGCACTGACCAACATCAAGTCAAAAGCAAACCAAAACCAAAGGATATTATTTTTGGTTTTTTGATGGCTTGCTTTCCTTTTTTAAGGTTAGATAAAGACTTGAAGGAAAAGAACATGGCTGTAATTTTTACAATTACATATATTTATTTGGGTTTTTTTTTTCTTGAAGTTTTGGAGTAAAGTTTTGTTTTTTCCCAGACTTGTTAGGATTAACGTGACAGAATCTTCTGCCTATTAGATAAACAGTTAACAAGCGAGTCAGGTAGTGACTGCTTCCGTGGTAGAGGTTAAATTGGAATGCAATAAACAATGCTCTACCTTTCCGTTTTTGCTGGTTTAAGGTACGAGATCTTTCACAACGTAAGAGAAGAACATGGATGTTAGAATTGATTTTTCCACCTGTGATTTTGCTTTCCCTATTTTATTCTATGTATTATATGTATGTAGCCCAACGATGGGGTTGTCTATGTTGGGTACAGTATTTTGAAAAGTACTGTAAGATGATATTTATGATTTCTCTTATTTAATTAGCTAGCCAGGTTTCTTTGTGAACAGTTGTATTTGTAGATTATTCAAATAATAAATGAGATTGTATAAGTACCCACAAAATTAATTTTACAGATTTGGATTTCTTGATGCAAGTGTGGGTTTATATCTTTGTATTCATTTCAATCTTCTCACTTCTGGAAACTTTTTTTTTTTTTTGCTCACTGTGTGAGAATCCATATTGATAAACTTAAGTCTGACAGTTACCAAGATTTTTTTTTTTAAAAAAAGCGGTTTTAGGGGGCATGCAGACAATTATATGTAGAAAATGGAGGCTTTCTTAAAAAAATTATCATGTAAACTTGAAGGAAAAACATTATGGTGGAAAATTTTTTATTATTTAAATTTCCATCAAGTAAAATGTAGAAATTAACCAGAAAACAATATAAAATTTAATACATCTTTAATTAGGCAAAATGATTTTTATCATTATAAAAAGAAATAGTTTAATATGCTTAATATAATGGGTTTTTTCCTAGGAGAAAAAATTATCCTAGATTTTTGCCCTAGCTACATCAACAGATTATTGCATACCTAATTTTATAAATGCCTGGCATGTACATTTACGCACACTTTACTTAAAACTTAGCGGTGATCAAGCCGACCTCTTTGAGTTGATCAAATTTTATTCCTGCTTTGACTTCCAGTCTAGATTAGGTAAATGAATTTAAATTCTACACAAAGGCACAGAGCTTCGTGTGTGGCTCTGGTAGGCCTTTGACCGATGTTCCTGTTCCTTTTCCGTTAAGAATAGCCCAAAGAGAAAAGGTAATGAAATTTGGTCAGGCATTATGATGAATGGAGGAATGGAGTTCTAGACCATTCTCAGAATTTCAGCTCATACTCTTTAGTAGCTCTTTGAAGTATTAGAAAAGATAAGCTAGCAAATGGAATCGCTTGTTTGTGTATTTAAAAGGCTGTCATCGGTAGTGATAAGTTTTAACAAAGAGTCACTGTGTAAACATTAACAGAGTGTGGCCTCTATTGAGAATTGTTTTGACAAAGTTGTAGTTGTGCCTACAGTTTTCTGGGATGTCACTGTGGTCTTTATGGTAGGCTGGCTAAAAGATGGTATCTAGGTTTTTTTTTTTTTTTAAATACTGATGTGGATATTAATTATTAATTTTTTGTGTAATTAACAATAATATTTTAGTGTAAATCAGAAGCATCCCAGAGAACTTTACATATTTTCAACTCATTTCCCTTCTGGTAAGTTAGTGTTCAGGAAGGCATATAAATTATTTTTCATTTTTCATGGTTGACATT